GCAAGGAGATTGATGGGGACGGGGAGGGTGATTTCTGGCCATTGCTGGAGATAAATCAACTGAATCTGAAGGTGGATCAGGACCGTGCCTTCTGAGTGATTGACTATAGTCAAGCAACGGTAATAGGTTTTCTTCTGTTGTCAAGGTCTTGTAGGTCTTCTGCACAGTTTGCTGGGTGGTAACCGTCCTACCCTCCTCTCGGAAACCAGCGTGTGGGACTTAACCCCGCGCTAAACCGCTTTAAGGCTGGCAGTTCCGTTGGATGAGCTCTGTTCACATGAGTCTCCCCGCTGGACATTTGCCTGACAGTGTCCGTTTCGATGGGGCTCCGGGAACTGGAGCGCACCGCCGACGCCTGAGTGACGCTCTGTTCCGCTCAGCCGCTGTTAGGCTGGAGATAAGGTGCATATTGTATGCGACTGTGTGCAGATCTCTAGAGGTCTACCTCTCACAGGAGCGGTGGCTCCGTCACGTATGTGGGTCCGGCGGAGTGAGAGAAATCGCCTGGTGACCGCGGTCCTCGTCTGGCGCTCTGGATGCCGCACATCCGCAGTGGCATTCCCCCGACGTTCGCCGGGTGGTCCTGTGCTAACGGACAGGGGCGCAGAAGTTTCGGGTTAATCTGCCGCAGAACGTGATGCTGCATTGATGTGAGGAGAACAAATCCAGACAAGTGTTGTGTGGTTCTGGAGTGCACAGTGCACACAGTTACGCAGGGCCCGTCGGAGCCGGTAAGGACTGGACGATGCTGCTATGGGTACGGTGGCAGCCGCAGACTACAGGGTGTCCGGAAATTGATTGCACACTGTCCATATGCCCGTATCTCGCACATGCTCCCGCCAAACCGGTTAGGGAGGGTCGCGACCCCGCCCCCGTGCACCCCAGCGTGTCAGTTGATCACGTGACCCAGCAGGTGACCTGACCCGACCCATAGTGAGCGGCCACAGGTCATTTTCCGAAAGGGAGTCTTCACGCGCGGGCCCCATATCGGGAATGGTGAGGGAGCACACTTTGACGACGCGCCACCGCGCGGTTGGGATGGTTCAAGCCGGGATGACGGTAGGCGATGTTGCCCGACAAGTGGGCGTATCTCGCCGGACCCTTCATTACTGGCTAGCTCTCAACCGCAGCGGTGCATCACTGGAGAATCGTAAGGGTCGTGGGAGAAAGACTGTGCTGAGCAGAGTGGCCAAAATCGTGCTCGCCAAGGCCGTGCTGAAACGACGCCAATCGACGCGGAAACTGGCCAAAAAGCTGACTGAGAAGGGTCACCCGGTGTCGAAGACCACTGTTCACCACTACATGACCAAGTGCTTGGGTCTCAAGCCGCTAAAACTGCGCCGCCAGCCAAAACTGACCGAAGCCCAGAAGCGGAAAAGGCTGGCATTTGCCCGGGAGCGGAAGAACTGGACCATCCAGGACTGGCGGCGCGTCTTGTTCAGCGATGAGTCGGTGTTCGAGCTCATGCACCCGCCGAATCGCCAGAACGAGCGCGTCTGGGCGCACAGCAGCGCTGAAGTGCCTGCCATCGACACGGTGAAGCAGCCGCTGAAAGTCATGGTCTGGGCCATGATGAGTCATCAGGGCCTGTCGGAGCTCCACTTCGTCCCCCGCGGCCAGACCGTGACGGCCCAGTACTACGTGGAGGAGGTCCTGAAGAAGTCGGCAGCGTCGGCGATGAAGCGGAAGAGGAAGACGGGGCCGCCAACACAGGTCGAGCTGCTCCCGAAGATGTCCGAGGCGATCTTCCAGCAAGACGGCGCTCCGGCTCATCACGCCACCAGCACTCAACAGTGGTGGCGGGACAACCTCCCAGGGTTTTGGGAGAAGGGTGTATGGCCGGGCAACAGCCCTGACCTGTCGCCCATCGAGAACGTGTGGGCTATCGTGCAGAGCGAGCTCGACATGATGGAGCCGGCTACCACCGAGAAGGCGCTAATCAGGAACCTCCAGCGAGCGTGGCTCAGCATCAGTGCGGAGACACTGGATAACCTAATGTGCGGCATGCCCGACCGTATGAGGGAGTGTGTGCGACTGGGTGGAGGGTATATCGGCAAATAAACCATGAAACATGCTCGTTTTGTTTCCTTGTAAAATGTACTAAAAGAGTGTGCAATCAATTTCCGGACACCCTGTACTCACCGCCGGGTCACGTTACGGCGGGTCACGCCACGGCCCGCGGCTAAGTGCCTTCGTCACGCCATCCCCCGCCCCCGCATTGTGCGGGGAAGAGTCAATATTCCGCCAGCACGCCCCCGAGTCTGAACCAAACCACACCGGTGCCTGTCGATCACGTCCAAATTGTGTTGACTGGCCCAAACGAGCATCCCGGAGTGAGTTTGAGCGCCGGACCGCACTGATTGCCTGTTTGCAGCGCTCGACTCGCTCTGAAGAGCGGACTGGTCCGACGGCCGGGTCCAGCCCTGCTCTCTGACCCGCCGCACACAGTCGGCTGGCGACCCGGCGGGTTTTGAACAGTCCCGGGCCGACTGGCGACCGGCGGGTTTTGAACAGTGCTGGGCGGACGGCAGTGTCGCGGGAGCCACTCGTCCGTCGAACGTCGGCTACATCCGGCCTGTATCGACCCCGACGGGCGGGCGGCGGGATTCGACAGGGACGGACGGCGACGAACCCCTGTCTGAAGGTCTCACGGCCCCCACATCGGTATCGGGGTTAGATACAGTTAAACTCGTGGACACGGATTCATCACAGTGTGTGTGCATACGCAAACAAAATACGCAGCCGGCGTAACGGATCGACGGCGAAGCTGATTTGTCCAGCCTGATTTGCCCAGAGATCAGAGACTGGTCGTAGCTAACCGATGGGTGAACCCAAGGGGATGGTCTCGGAGGTCGGAGGGCATCTGTCGATCGTCTGATTTGACCGGGAAATGTATGGTCAATTAACTACCGGCAGTAGTCAATTGGTCGATTCGTTTTATTTTTCATTGGGAGCATAAAAGTTTCGCCGAATGGTCCATTCACTCCGTACGTCTCTTACATCACTCCGTAACGCTCGCGCGCATTTCATGTGCTTCTGTGTCTGCTGGCAGCATAATGACGGTTTTCAGCTGTTAACCCTTTTGCTCCTAAGTAAAGTATTTGTTTTGTGCATCGCAATGGAAGTATTTTTAATGAAATGTGTTGCAGGTTGAGGGTATGTTGAATTGCTCGGCTACCTTGAGTAATGCTATCGTAGCACTGTTCATACTTCAATTCAACACTGGTGCATCATGCGTTTTTTTAAATTATCCTGGCATTTGTCTGAATGCGACGCTATTGACGGGCTCCTAATGGGTGCTCTGATCGCACGTTATGGAAGAGGATGTCGGCGCCGCTGGCGAACGAATGGCCGGCATCAATGGCCAGCTGTTTGAGCCGGGTTATATTGACGGGCCCGGCGATAATCTCGGTACCAGATGGATGGCTGGTGATGAACGCTCCTTTCGGAACGGCCAAAATGAACGGCGTCGCAGCGTTCAGGATATTGTTGCATTTATTCAATTATTGTATTGATCGTAGCCTCGCATTGTTGATGCTCTCGCAGTTCAGCAAAATAGCCCGTTTGTCTGGTGTCTGAGACGTGCTAAGCGAGACGGTTACTGCGCTGTCGAGTGTTTTCAGGTCGTCCTGCGGTGCTGGCAAATTGCCTCCGATAGCTGCTACGACGGGCAGAGTCGGGTGACACTATCTCGTGTTGCCGGCTTCCGGGCGGCCGCGACGGACCTGTTAGCACAGCGGCGTGCCCGGAAAGGATCTCTCTCTCTCTCTCTCTCTCTCTCTCTCTCTCTCTCTCTCTCTCTCTCTCTCTCTCTCTCTCTCTCTCTCTCTCTCTCTCTCTCCCTCCTTCTCTCCCTCTCCCTCTCCCTCTCCCTCTCCCTCTCCCTCTCTCGCCTCTCTCTCCCTCTCTCGCCTCTCTCTCCCTCTCTCGCCTCTCTCTCTCTCTCTCTTTCTCTCTCTCTCTCTCTCTCTCTCTCTCTCTCTCTCTCTCTCTCTCTCTCTCTCTCCTCGATCCCATAGCCCGCCGCGATCGTCGAAAGTTTCCGAACAATTCGGAACGACGAATAAATCGGAAAACGGTTGTCGATCTGGCGGTCCGGCCGGTCGTGTGTCGATTCTGGTTCTGCTGGGTGTGGCTGTCTGCGGTTAGCAGTGGCTGGGGAGAGCCAGGCACGGTTCTGACCGCCGAGTTTATGAACGGAACAGTGGGTAGGTAGCCCAGGTTAGGTGCCCGTCAGATGCGGGTTGGGGTGAGGAGGTAGCCGGTTGTCGCTGCGGGCTCGTTATAGTTGACGTGTGATGGTGACTTCGGTTACCTGACGTGGGATGATCAGTTGATCACGTCAGTTCGTATGTGTTGCCAATGATAGCATGACGTCTGCCGTTTGAGAGTAATCAATCACTGTGCGTTTCATTCGACTCTGGTTCGGCGGCGGCGCGTCATATTTCACACTGACTGGAACTCGCTAACTGCATTACGGTGATGACTGTCCTCCGGAAGCCCTATATTCACCAATCTGGCGCCGTCGTCATTTCATCACAGCCGCGCGGCCTGTACCGCGGGACGGCGGTTTGAGTGGATCGCACCGCCCCTATACCGCGCAGTGGTCTGTGCTGTGCTGTACATATTCTGCTCTGCTGTCTCGTTAGTCTGCCGGGTTCAAGCCGTCAGCCTTTTCCGAGAACAGCTCAGAGCCAGCCCCAGCTCTGAGCGGCCGTCAGCTGTTTCCGCCGACAGCCAGCGCACTGAAGCCCCAATCACTTACTACGAGGTTATGTAACGCTGCTGTAAATGCCAGCCCAGAGTTGTCCTCTGTATTGTTTCCATTCAAGTTTGCTAATCTTATGCTTTCGAACGTCGCCGTTTTATGTCGCCAAGCTTCCTTGCAATATCAACTCCTCTCCGTGTCAACTCATAACTACTCCCACCGTCACTGCTATTTGCTCTGATCTCACGTTCACCCCTCGCTGACCCGTGCCGTGACCGGTGTGTGCCCGCAGGCGGCGCCGGGCGGCCTGACCCGCAAGGAGTCGTACAAGGACCAGCGGCGCCGTTACCGGCACGAGAAGCGGCGCGCCGCCGACGAACTGCTCAGCACCGTGCGCGACCCGGCCGTGCTGGTACGCGCTGACTGGCTCAAAGTGCGCGGCACGCTCAAAAGCTGGACCAAGCTCTGGTGCGTGCTCAAACCGGGTCTGCTAATACTCTACAAGAGTGAGAAGGCCAAGGTAAGCCGCCGACAAGATGGGGGTGGGGGGGGGGGATACGGGGTTGTATGTATTGTATGTATGTATGTATGTATTACCTTCATGGACAATCCACGCGGGGCGTGGCGATTACAGTACAGGTTGAATGGGGAGAGCAGTGTTTGGTGCAGAGTGTTAACACAGGGGGAGTTTATTTAGTGTGAACACCATTGATGGGACATTTAGGGACCGCCCGCCGCAAACGCTAACATTATTGGCTACAAACGAGCTGGTCTATTTACACGGTGTCCAATGTTTGGCAAAGTTCAACATCTCTGTTTGATAGGTCGGGGCGTGCTTTATTTCCTACAAATGTGTCGTAACTTTTACTGACGCAAGACTGTCACAGCTGACTGCTTATTTCCAGCATTTCATGCATGCTGTTTATTTCCAACATTTCATTCATGCTAACTCATTCCAGAGTTTTGCCATTCCAAGTCCACCGCAGTTCGTTCCATTTGTCCATACGTCGTCCTATTCTAACCCCTCTCAGCCCTGTGAAGTTCCGTCTTATTCCGTCCGCGACTGGTCGGGAAAGTTGGCGTGCCGTCCGCTAACTGGAGAAGAGCGCGCCGAACACCCCGGCACTGAATTGATTGGGGCAGAGGAACGGCCTCCGCCAGTGCCGGCTAACGACTGCTGTGGCGGCAAAATTCCGGCACTGGAGGGCGGTAGTCGGCGGTTCCGGTCTGTGGGTGGCTTGGACGACCAGAGATGATTTGACGGTCACGGGTGGGCGGCTGATTTTGGTGTGGCGCGTTCTAACGAGGCACGCTCGATAGTGTAGATGGCAAGGCCGAGTGGAGCCAGCATCGAACCCGCGGGCCGAGTGAGTGAGTGAGTGAGTGAGTGAGTGAGTGAGTGAGTGAGTGAGTGAGTGAGTGAGTGAGTGAGTGAGTGAGTGAGTGAGTGAGTGAGTGAGTGAGTGAGTGAGTGAGTGAGTGAGTGAGTGAGCTTCGTGGGGGCGGGCGTGTGTGCGTGCTACGTGCGTGCGTCCGTCCTTGCGTGCGTCCGTGCATGTGTGCGTAAATGAACTGTGTGAGTGAAGGGCCCGAGACCAGTTGGGACGGAGCTCCGAAACAGATATAAGGGAGGAGGTTCCTGACGGCGATCGTGACTCAGTGAGTGAACAATCAGAGTGGAGCCACTGCCGGCAGCGGCGGGTCGGTCGGAGGCGGGGCTGCCTGGGCCGCTCTGTTGGCAATTAGGCGGTTTCTGGATCGACCGCGCTGCGGGGGTCGATGAAATGAACCGGTGGCTGACGCGGGACGGATGCGGCCCGGCCCGACCCGGCTCGATGGGCCGGGGTCGCACAGTGATGCAAATGGGGTTCACGAGTGGTCATAAATACCCAAAAGTCAAGTTTACCAAATCGAGTTAATTGCGATATGGCCGAGTAGACAAATGTTTGGGGCATCTGAAATCACATGGTTTTCATGTTTTTGTCAAAACCGGCCTCGTGTATACTCGTCAGAAGTCGTGACATTTTCTAGGTCGCAAAATGACGGTCGGACACTCGCAAGTTCAAACGCCGCTGGTTTGCGTTCATTTCGTACAAATTGAAAAAATATGCATGGGAATGATCCCCAAAGCCTTCTGCTTCTAATGCCGGGTCACAAAAAGCCGTATCTCATTCGCTTTGGCGGTAATCTGACTATTTATCATCATGTTGCAATCGCAGTTTTTTACTAAGAAAAAAAAAATGCTTTCGTTTCACCTACAGCACTTAACACAGTGTGCCCGTTAGTCCACCATACCATAGCCTTCCATAATCATTTCTGAGTCGCATCGTGAAAGAATTAAGGTGCTAGCACAGGGCTGACTGGCGCTACAGAGGTTTTTGTCTGGGCAGTCGGGTGCCGCAGTGGGCGCGCAGTGGGCGGGTGGGTGCCGCCGCGCGGCGTCCGGGCGGCGCGGCGGCGCGGCCGCCCGGGCCGCCCGCTGCGCCGCGGCACCCGACCGTGCCGGACGAAAACTTCTGTAGCGCCGGTCTGTATGACATGAACGCACGCTAGCGGCACTTGAATTTCAAGTACCTGACAGTCATTTTACGACATCGAAAATGTCTCGACTTCTGACAATCATACACGAGGCCGGTTTTGACAAAAACATTAAAATCATACTTTTTCAGACACCCCAAACATTTGCCTGACTGACCATATTACGATTTATTCGATTAAGTGAACTTGAATTTTGGGCCTTTTTCGTATTTATGGCCACTCGTGAACCCCATTTGCATCACTGTGGGTCGGGGCGGCCGGTCCTCGGTGAATTACTGGTTCCGTTCCGATCGTCTCCCGGACGAGTCATGAGATTGGAATCAAGTTTAGTGGAGTGTCACAGCTTTCATGTGGTGTCAGCTGAAAATGACAGCTGTTTACTCAATGGAATAGAGTTGGTTTGACAAAAACAAGCAACACCACTCGGGTTGAAACTATAACTAAGATTGAAACAAATTGAGACGACGGAGTGGATTGACAGAAATTGATTGTTGAAGGTGGCAAGGCCACTGAGTGACGAGCATTCAGCTGCGGTTGATGTTTCGCGGACCCACTGCTGACCGGTCGGTCGGTCGATCGGCCGTGTTTCTAAGGCTCACTTAGTGCCCGTCCGCCGCGCTGATCAGCCCATCTCTCAGCTCCACTGATGAACCCCCGAGATACGGCGGCTCGGCCGAGCTGACACTGCAGAACGGGAGAGGCGTTCCGGAGCCGCCGCCTCGGCACTTCTCACGGGGAACCGCTGACTGGACGGGGCAGGTCGCGCCCAGCCGCCGAGCGAATTTCGCGTCACTTGTGCCCGAGCTGAGACGGCCCGGATGGTAATAGGACGTTATTGGGTCTATTGAGAGGCATTGGGTCTATTGAAAACTCTGAGAGTACACACTCTGGTTTCTGTTGGTAGCGAATGGGGATCACGCTGGCTTTACGAATAGTGGCGTTGGTTTGTGCCCAATTATTTTGTTTGCGGGTGGTGCTGAATGAAAATCTCCAGCGAGTGTCCTGCTGTCGTGGTGCCATTGAATGTTCAGAAGTACTGTCTAAACAGATGAGTACCTGTGCTCTGTGACTGAGCAGAACTGGCGAGACGGATGCCGTGAACTCCAAAGAATGCGACTTGGCCGGCAACACACACATGCGTGACCAATCATGATATAAGCATCTCTATTGACTGGTTTGACGGTCCATGTATTGTTTATTTATCCTGTAAACTGTTAAGCCGTCGCTGTATGTTTGTCTGAGCCGTCCCCGCCCTGCATAGTTAACTGTAGCGAGGCCTCTTGGTGGGGAGTAAGGAAGATTTCGAACGCCCTTACAGCTTGCAATGTGATCTTTTTATTCAGCTGTCTGTTTGACCACCGTTTGTTTCATGTTGGTTAAGCAGAGAAGAATTTCGGTTAACAAAGCATGGTGGCTGGCGGAATGTGTTTGTCATTGTGTCAGTTTAGCTCACTGGGCACGTCCCAGTTTAATTACAGTTGTGCGGGCCCAGATTCTAATCACAAACTGAAATCCTTTTCGGGGAACTTTTGGAAGAATGGGCGCGACGTGAGCCTGAATAAATCACCCAGTCTGAGAAATGGCCAGCTTCTTCTGAAAGAAACAAGGGAACTTTTGGCCAGCAAGCACGGACAGCTGTTCCTGGAGAATCCCGGCGTTCATCATGTGCTCTGCGACACTGCTCCCCAGCCCACCCCGACCGGGGTCTGGCGGCTGTCTGGGTCAGATATTTCGGGTAAACTCTGATCAGACCGCGGAAATTCGCACCCTTTGTCGGCGGCCGGCGCTCTGAAGGATCACTTCATTTCGGTGCGGTCGGTGCCGAGCCAGCTTGACTATCCCTGTCATACGACCTGACCTAATCTTACATGACCTGGCCACTCACAGAACAGTTATTGGGTCGGCACCATCCTGCTCTGTCTGACCTGACCTGACCTGACTTGCCCTCTGCTCACAGAACAGCCACTGGGTTGGGACCATCCTGCTCTGTCCAGGGGCGGATCCAGAAAATCTCCAAGGGAGGGGCCATTAGAAACCAGGAGGCCCCCCCCCATAATCCCACCTGTTGGAGGCCCCATCTTCCCACTTGTTGGGCCCCCCCCCCCCCAAAAAAAAAAAAACTGCGTCTATTGAGCTTATCTAGCTGTTCAGGCAACATCTCAACATCTGTGCAGGCTTGGAGGCCCTCTGTGCAGGTTAGGAGGCCCTGTAAAAGTGGTCATCTCTGTGAGTATAAGAGACCTCCAAGTTATGAAAAGCTTTACCAATCTTCTAACAAAGAAGTCTTCTCAGCTAGTCTTCTAAGAAATAACTAAGTGGGTAGGTTAAAAAAAAAACTCATCGGATTTCGGCCACTTTATTTTCAGGAGGCCCCCTTTTCAGCTTTTTAACTTTTTAACTTTTTATTTTATTTTTGAAAAAAATCGGCCAAGGGGGGGGGGGCATGGCCCCCATGGCCCCCCCTTGTATCCGCGCCTGGCTCTGTCTGACCTGACCTGACCTGACCTCCCACAGAACAGCCACTGGGTGGGCACCATCCTGCTCTCCAGCTGCCACCTGATTGAGCGGCCGAGCAAGAAGGATGGCTTCTGCTTCAAGCTGTACCACCCGCTGGAGCAGAGCATCTGGTCCACCAAGGGACCCGACGGCGAGAGCGGCGGTAAGCGGGGAAGGATGGGTATAGGGGCAACGGTGCACGGTGTCCACTGAGGGAGCTGTCTTTACACTAACGAGCCGAGCAGGAGCGACGGCAGGGGGCGGAAACAGGGGCAACGCATAAGTGACGGGCAAGGGAGGCTAGTTGAAAGCACACGAAGCGACAGATACGTTGCGGTTGAATATTAGGTGTGCATTTTGCGCGGAGCTCACATATGTTTGTGGATCACAGATACATTGTCGCTTATTTTGGTGATGATCGTCAGATTGTTAACTGTTAAGTGATCATCTGACTCTCTTCAAAGCCTGACCAGTCGTTTTTATCTCGGCTCCCTTCCGAATACGACAGACAGCCTAGTGTTCCGCCACCACTTACCCACTTACATCAACCGCAAGGGCCGCTCTGTTGCCGTCTTGGTGTCGCCTGTGTTGCGCTGAACGGCTAGGTGTAGGGAATGTACCGGCGATTGACTTATTGCCTCGCTAACTACCGTCTTTGAGGCTAATCTTCCTAAATCGATAAGATCAAACAAACGGCTTCCTGCTTGTATTTCCCCGTGTCACTGCCGACAGCCGTTCACCCCTTGTCTTCCAGTTTCTCCCCACTGATTGCTCCCTCCCACATGTCTTCCAGTTTCTCCCCACTGACGGCTCCCTCCCCGCGTCCGCGGGCGTGTCTTCCCGCTGACGGCTGTCCTCCCCAGTTCCCATGCCTCCCCGTTCTCCCCACTGACGGCTCCCTCCCCATGCCTCCCCGCTTCTCCCCACTGACGGCTCCCTCCCCACGTCTGCAGGCGTGTATTCCCACCGACGGCTGTTCTCCCCAGTCCCCATGCCTCCCCGCTTCTTCCCACTGACGGCTCTCTCCCCACGCCTCCCCGCTTCTCCCCACTGACGACTCTCTCCCCGCGCCTCCCCGTCTCTCCCCACTGACGGCTCCTTTCCGTGTCCGCAGGCGCCACGCTCCAGCTGCTGCCAACTGCCCACCTCATTTTCCGGGCGCCCACTCAGAGCTCGGGCAAATGCTGGATGGACGCTCTGGAGCTGAGTATGGCGTGCTCGTCGCTGCTCAAACGCTCCATGAACGCCGAGGGCGGCCGCTCCTGGGCCGAGTCCGAGCCGGAGGGAGGAGACCTGGGTAGGTGAACGGTAGGGGCACGACCTGCGTAATGCAGTGGTCAGGGCTCGAGAGGTATAGCAGGAGTGAACTGGGTATGGTGTATGTTACCAGTCTGGGAGGAAGGGCTGGGGGCAGAAAGGTAGCACTGGACTGGGGGACACGTTTACTCGTAAGTCGCTGGATGGACAAAACGCATGATATAGTAAGACCGGAGCTCGCAGTTTCGTTTCCGCTGTGGGATATGCTGGAGTGTGGGATGTGAGTGAGTGTAGGTATGTTGTTCAGCATGCAGGTTTGGCCGTGTAAAGGTCACAAGGGATCAGTCCGCAGCAGCTGGTTAGGCGGGCAATAGGGCGACAGTTGGCCGAGACTATTCAGTGATTGCCTGAACATGACGCCCTTGTATGAACGAGAGCAGCATGACTGATTGATTATGGGTGGGCATCAGCTAGCACTAGCCAATGCCAGACCGCAGCTGAAGTCGGACCCCGTGCGTCTCCGGACGGTGGGCGACCGTCACTGATATTTGCACATGTAGTCAGGCCGTATGCCGAGTGTTTATTGTCTCTCGCCGGCTGTAATATTGTCGCGTTGAACAGCCGGCTCCCGAGCTCCTTATTGGTCCTGGCCGCTAGACCAGAGCTGCTCGGGCTCACACCAGCTGTGTCGTCTGGCTCAGCTGTCACTTTTTATGTGTGTCTGTGTCCCACTGGGCAAACGCTACACAGCCAAGAGCCGCGATAGGATGTCCGAACACCGGGCCTTTCACGGTACGAACGCCGGGCCGTTGTAATAGTGTCTGGCAGCCATGCACATGTGTTCTGGCTATGACTTGTCAGCACTCATGCCATGCAGATGTTTTTTCTTGGATATACAAGCATAAAATTTTATGTGCAAAAAGGCATCTGTGCTGACACTTGATACGCTCGATTGGAAGCGGACAGCCACGATGTGAACCTAAGCGGTTCACTTCGTGCTCTTACAGTCTCATACCTGAACCTTAGTGGATAGGCTGGCTTATAGGTGTTGTATGATCGACAGTACGTTCCACTAACAAAGATCCTGGTTTGGCTTTGACCGTCTCGGGTGTTCCTCCAGTAAGAACAGTGATAAATGTGGCATCCCCTTCCAGACGACAGCCGTGTGGTGACAGTGACAGTATTATCCCCCTCCGCTCCCCCAGACGACTGCCGGGTGGTGACAGTGACAGCGTCCCTCTGTCCCCTCAGATGACAGTCCGTTTAAGACAGTTTCCCTCTCCAGCTCCCTACAGTTACAATTTCCCCTCTATATTCCCCTTTCTGACGACAGCCGCTGGGTGACGCCGGTCGAGGCCAGCGCCGAGTTCGGGTGACAGTATGATCCCCCTGTATCCCTCAGACGACAGCCGCGTGGTGACAGTACCCTTCTGTACCCCCTCAGACGACAGCCGCTGGGTGACAGTATCCCCTGTACCCCCCCCCCCCCACACGACAGCCGCTGGGTGACAGTATCCCCCTGTATCCCCTCAGACGACAGCCGCTGGGTGACAGTATCCCCCTGTATCCCCTTAGACGACAGCCGCTGGGTGACAGTATCCCCCTGTACCCCCTCAGACGACAGCCGCTGGGTGACAGTATCCTCCTGTATCCCCTCAGACGACAGCCACTGGGTGACAGTATCCCCCTGTATCCCCTCAGACGACAGCCGCTGGGTGACAGTATCCCCCTGGCCTGTACCCCCTCAGACGACAGCCGCGTGGTGACAGTATCCCCCTGTACCCCCTCAGACGACAGCCGTTGGGTGACAGTATCCCCCTGTACCCCCTGCAGACGACAGCCGCTGGGTGACAGTATCCTCCTGTACCCCCTCAGACGACAGCCGGGTGGTGACAGTATCCCCCTGTACCCCTCAGACGACAGCCGCTGGGTGACAGTATCCCCCTGTACCCCCTCAGACGACAGCCGCGTGGTGACGCCGGTCGAGGCCAGCGCCGAGTTCGGCGCCGCTGTTGGGGAGGACGGCGATTCCTCAGAGGACGGATCGGCCATGGAGGACGACGCAGAGACGGCCGCCGACCAGGCACAGCCGCCCGCCATCGAGACCACCTACTGCGAGAACGTCGAGGTCCTCGACCCGGTACGGAACCCGCACGCGCTGGGGTCGGAATGAACTATGGGCTTTTTGGGATAGTTCGGTGTTCGGGTGGGATTTTTCGGGAATCACTTAGCATTTTAGGCAGCTTCCATGTTTTAGGGAACACATTTCCACCGAACATTCATATTTTTTTCATCGTCTATTCGTCCATACATTCGTCCATTCTGTCCATACCCTTCGGATGAAAGAGATGCCCTTGCTTACAACTTAGGCTCTGCATATTCGGCGTAAAAGTCACACGCTGCAGTGTGCATGCAATACGGTGCAGATTGTATAAAATCTAGGTGGTACCACAGGCTTACTTTAGACACAAATTGGGCGCATGTGATACTGTCAAAAATAATTCAAGGTGGGTTACATGCATATAATATTAATTTCCATGAATGTGGACCTTACGTCGAAAGGAATGCGAGATTAAAACGGAGCAGGAATTCAGGTTACTTGCAGTAAGCCCTCTCTGGCATGAGCGTATGATATCGATTGTGGGGACGCTGGCCACATAAGCTCGCATTACGCGGCTCTGACGAGTGTGGCACACGCGGGCTGCATTCATAGGTCACTGACCGGGCGCACTATCAGAGCGGGCGGCGGGCCGTCCAGCCGCTGTGTGCCGCTGTGGCTGGGGTAACATTGACCGCCGCAGCCTGACTGCCGACCGTCCGTGTTCACCCGGTCCGGCGCGGCGCGGTGCCCTTTCACACGCCGAGATGCGTGTTTTGACTGGGCCGTGTATGAAGGCACAGCGGATGGCGCGGTGCGAATATGTCGCAATGCAAAGTCCGATATCAGTCTGTGTGCAGAGATGGCTGTGGGCTATCTGGGTTTGGATTCCCGGGGTGTGCTTTCTGATAAGGCTATCAATGACCTCGCCATGGATTCATTCATTCGGCGCCCCAGCCACCGTCGTATATTGTCGGATATCGATGGTCTGGCGCCTCTCACTGTTTTATGGCCTTTTTGCAGAAGTTCATTAATTCGAGCCGAAAATATACTTCGTGATAAACACGACACATCCTCACAGCACGACACTCTGGCTGTAATGGTCCATGGTCCACTGTACCTCTGCTCCATAGGAGACTCCTTTAATTATTTCCCGTCTACTAGTCGACTCTGGTCCGTGGGGCTTATCCTCGCGGTCACCGACCCAAGCTGATTATCAGTCCCATAAGTGCAGCGTTCCCGTATCAAACACCCTTACTCTGGCTGGTGGTAAGTGTTCGTGTGTCCCGCACACTGGGTCTCTATAACCGGCGGTAAGCGGCCGCTGAGAGCTCTGACCGGTTCAGCCGCCACGGCTGGGCCGCCACTCAGCCGGTGTGGTCGCTGAGTGGCGGCCCAACGGGGCGGGGCGGCAGTCTGTCCCTCAGCTGTGGCCGTCCAGGCGATTGGGCGCGGCAGTCTGTCCCTCAGCTGGTGTGGCCGTCCAGGCGATTGGGCGCGGCGACACCCACTCAGCCGGTATGTGGCCGGACAGACGACTGATAGGGCGGCAGTCCGTCCCTCAGCCGGTTTGGCCATCCAGGCGGCTGAGTGGTCCGTTCCTCAGCCGGTTTGGCCATCTAGGCTATTGATGGGGTGGTAGCTGCTCCTCAGGTGGGGCGGGGCAGCAGCTGACGGGTACAAACAGTGACTATCCAGACGACTGGCCGGGGCAGCAGCTGACGAGTACAAATAGTGGCTGGCGAGCCGTGACGTCACCTAGCTGGGGAGATATGGGATATTTACGCAGTCTGGGCTGCATGCATTGTGCGGGCAGGTGAAAATTGAGCTGGAGCTTGTTGAGTGTTGGTCACAAGCTCTGACATACGAATTTGTTTCATGGAAAGAATTATCAGTGCTACGCTGAAAGGCTAAAGCAGGCCAAATGTTTGTTAGATACCCCTAAGCTGATATCGTGCTGCCTCGGTGTCAGGCTCTCCATATAGAGGATAATATATAAACTTACCTAACTTATTGCGTGACTTACAAACGTTATTTACTGCTCTTCTGGTGACCTGATTGACCTGGCATGACCTCGTCTTTCTTGGAGCTGGTAGCCTGGCCTTATCAAACCTGGCCAGTGGCCTCTCACCTTCCCGGGAGCTGGTGACCTTACCCTGCTTCCCCATGAGCTACTGGTGACCTAACATTACCTTCGTCCCGAGAAGCTGCTGACTTAACCCGACCCCCTGTCCCCAGGAGCTGCTGGGCGGCGGCGGTCAGACTGAGGAGCTGCTGGTGACCTGGCCTGACCCCGCCCCCGCGTCCCCAGGAGCTGCTGGGCGGCGGCGGTCAGACCGAGGAACTGGCCGACGAGAACAAGAACCTGCTGTGGCCGCTGCTGAAGCAGCTGCGGCCCGGCATGGACCTGAGCAAGGTGGTGCTGCCGACGTTCATCCTGGAGCCGCGCTCGTTCCTGGACAAGCTGAGCGACTACTACTACCACGCCGACTACCTCAGCAGGTGCGGCACCGGCGAGGGTGGAGGTCGAGGAGAGAGAAGGGCTGGCTGTCGGGTAAAAGACGTTCTGTCTTGTGAAGGGACGGTCTATGGTGGAGACGGCTGGAGGTAGGGTCAGACGCAAAACTTACTTTGCCTACAGTCAGAGCGACGGCCGTCAAGGAACAGAGTTCAATATCGGGTCTGGAAGCGGGGCCGAGAGGCTACGGGTCCGGTGCGAACATGATGTGTCGTGTTGTTTGAGTACTGTCGACAAATTCTGGCGCTCCTGTGTATCTTGCTCTCCTGTTTTGTCTCACCTCTTGCCGCCCTTGTCTAAGCCTTCTCTCCTCACACAGGGCGATACACGAGGACGACCCGTTCCTGCGGATGCGCAGTATTGTGGGCTGGTACCTGTCCGGGTTCTACAAGAAGCCCAAGGGCCTGAAGAAGCCGTACAACCCGATCCTGGGCGAGACGTTCCGCTGTTACTGGCAGCACCCGAACGGCTCGCGGACGTTCTACATCGCCGAACAGGTACTTACGGGGCGCACAGCGGATGGGAAACGGGGGCGTCTGCTAGCAGGGGTGCGGAGCCGGAGCCGGCACATTTTGCCCGGAGCCGGAGCCGGAGACGGAGCCGCTATGACATTTCACCCGGAGCCAGAGCCGGAGCCGGAGCCGATTCTATTTCTCCGAAGCCGGAGCCGGAGCCGAAACTGTCTGAAATTTCCACGGCTCCGCATCCCCGTCTGCTAGTCATTGGTGACAGCGTGGAGCCATCTTAGAGATAAGTCACGATGAAAGCCGGCGGGCTCGGTCGGTCAAAGTGGATGCAGGTGTACTAGTGAGTTTGATACCTATTGGAAACCCAAGTTAAACTGCTTAGACCATTCAAGAGAGTTGAATTTATACGGTTTATGGTTTTACGGATCTTTGTTTGAAGCTGTTTAGTTACTTCATCATATTTTATATGTTTAAAATTGTTGTGATTATGTCCAGGGAGGCGCCATATTCGCAGTGTTGGGTCTGTGTGGATGTTAGTGAATCTGCGTCCGAGGCCAGCTAGTCAAATTATTGACGGTCGGTAACTGGACGCCAGCCCTTTCACTCGCCGCCTCTGACCTCTCTCTGATTGATGGCGTCCCCATCCAGGTGTCTCACCACCCACCCGTCTCTGTGCTGGCTGTCCACCGGTCGCCTCTGACCTTTCTCTGACCGATGGCGTCTCCATCCAGGTGTCTCATCACCCGCCCGTCTCGGCCTTCTACGTGTCCAACCGGCGGGACGGCTTCTGTATCAGCAGCAGCATCCTGGCCAAGTCAAAATTCTACGGTAAGTTCCGCTGTCCAGCCAGCCTGGCCAAGTCGAAATTCTACGGTAAGTCGCGCTAAAGAACCACGGTAAAGCCTTCAATATGGTCATCCTGGCCAAGTCGAAATTCTACGGTAAGTCGCGCTATCCAGCTACCCTGGCCAAGCCGAAATTCTACGGTAAGTCGCGCTATCCAGCTATCCTGGCCAAGTCGGAATGCTACGGTAAGTCACGCCAAAGGTGAGTGACTACCTTCAGTTCTGCTATCCTGGCCAATTCCAAATTCTACGGTATGTTGCGGACCGGAGCCGGCCGTGGCGCCGCTGGGGCTGCCGAGCGCAGATTAGATTTACCGTCCGCTTAATATGACTCCCGTCGGAGCGACGCAAGTCGCAGCTTATCATGGCCGGACGGCAAATGGAGTTTAAAAATTCATGTGTTTGTGTCGCGTCTGCTGAATGTCCTGCCATAGCCGAGGGATGTCGCACACATTCTTTAAGTTATTGCGAGTAACACCTGAAACTCGACATTATGTTAGTGTTTGGAATTACAGTTATACAGTATGTGCTTGTGTATTGCGATGGTGTGACATTGACGCTCTGAAAGATTGCATTTCGCTGCCTCAGAGTACCTCGGAGCTTATGTTAAAATGTTTCTGTCTAACTCTTTCTCTCCCCTTATGGTGTCGCAAGTAACTTGACTATCTTGATTCTCACCCTCCCAGTCACAGCTGATATACCCCTCCGCTCACACCTCCCGCTGTGTCGCAGGCCCTCCCTGTCACACTCCGCGAGTCACAGACCCTCTTCTGTCTTAGGTAACTCAACGTCTGCGATTCTGGTGGGCACCTATCCGTGCTTCTATCCTCAGGATACTGAAATCCTTCTCCTCCACGCCACAACCCCCTTCCGGGCTGGACAGGCAACTTTATCTCATGCGGGCTGCTCCCTTGGAGCGGCACCGCTGCTCCCGAGGGAGCGCACCCCGTAGCCGGGTGCAGTGAGTGCCTTGGGGCTGGGTGGCCTGTCCTCTGGACGGGCTCAGCCCCGGCGACTCACTAGGGTGCCTGCCCAGACCAATGTCTCCCCCTAAATCCTATCATCCTTCCGGCTCTGCAATGGTCTTGTCGACCGAAAGGGCCTAACCCAACAAAACAACAAACAACAAACAACAATTCTGGTGGGCGCGGCGACCGCTCCCCCAGTCACAGACTCCCCTGACCACACTCCCCCAGTTACAGACCCTCTTCTGTCACAGGTAACTCGACGTCGGCGATTCTGGTGGGCACGGCGACCCCTCCCCCGGCCACAGACTCCCCTGACCCACCCTTCCTGTGTGACAGGTAACTCGACGTCTGCGATTCTGGTGGGCACGGCCACACTGACGCTGCTGCCGCGCGGCGAGGCATACCGGGTGACCATGCCGTACGCCCACTGCAAGGGTATCCTGATCGGCACACTCTCCATGGAGTTGGGCGGCAAGGTCACCATCGAGTGCGAAAAGACCGGCTACACCACCGAGCTCGAGTTCAAACTCAAGGTGCGTCCGGCCGCGGCGCCGGCGGCAGAGTGGGAAGTCGGGGGCTCAATATAAATAGTGAAATGTAGTTCGACTAAGATGTAACAGTCAGACGAGTTGGTTTGATTCATCTTTCAGACAATAGTCTAAGTGTATTTCAACCAGTATAACGCCTTTTGGGGCGACTAACGGAGCGAGCGAGAGGGTGGGCCTTGCACGTGCGAAATTGCGAGGGGGTACCTCCAACTGACTTGTGCACGGCACCCTACTGACTGGTCTCTAGCGATGTGCCGAATTTGGGCACAATCGGCCCAGCCGTTCTCGAGATCTGGAAGCGGCACCCTGCACGTGCGCACGTGCAAAATGGGTCCCAACTGACTTGTGCACGGCACCCTACTAACCGGTCCCTAACCGTGTACCAAATTTGAGCGCAATCGGTCCAGCCGTTCCCGAGATCTGGAAACGACCCCTGCACGTGCGCACGTGCAGCAGCACCCCAACTCTGGCACATGTATATGCAGTGCCTAGTGGGTGCCTACCTACATGCCAACTTTCAGCGAAATCGGCCAAGTAGTTACCGAGATATTGCAACAATTACAAAACTGACACCTCTTCGTTTTGCACGTGGCACGTGCATAAGGGGTCACCCACATGCATCGGGAATAGTCCAATACTTGGTAGAAGGAATGAAGCTACCCTACAAAAATTACCGCGTGTAAATCGGTCAAGTGGTTGCTGAGATATAAGCTTCGCAAAAGCGTGACCACGGCCGGCCGGCCGGCCGGCCGGCCGCTCATACTCAGAAATTTCCGTTAATCTAAGGAAAGACTACGCTCGCTTCGCTCGCTCCGTAATCACCAGTATAACGCCTTATGGGCGACTATCGGAGCGAGCGAGAGGGTGAGCCTTGCACGTGCGAAATTTCGAGGGGGTACCTCCAGCTGACTTGTGCACGGCACCCTACTAACCGGTCTCTAGCGATGTGCCAAATTTGAGCACAATCGGCCCAGCCGTTCTCGAGATCTGGAATCGGCACCCTGCACGTGCGCACGTGCAAAATGGATCCCAACTGACTTTTGCACGGCACCCTACTAACCGGTCCCTAACCATGTGCCAAATTTGAGCGCCATCGGTCCAGCCGTTCTCGAGATTTGGAATCGACCCCTGCACGTGCGCACGTGCAGCAGCACCCCAACTCTGGCACATGGATATGCATTGCCTAGTGGGTGCCTACCTACATGCCAACTTTCAGCGCAATCGGCCAAGTAGTTACCGAGATATTGCAACAATTACAAAAGTGACACCTCTTCGTTTTGCACGTGGCACGTGCATAAGCGGTCACCCACATGCATCGGCAATAGTCCAATACTTGGTAGAAGGAATGAAGCTACCCTACAAAAATTACCGCGTGTAAATCGGTCAAGTGGTTGCTGAGATATAAGCCTTGCAAAAGCGTGACCACGGCCGGCCGGCCGGCCGGCCGGCCGCTCATACTCAGAAATTTCCGTTAATCTAAGGAAAGACTACGCTCGCTTCGCTCGCTCCGTAATAAGAGAGAATAGCTGTAAACCGCGTATTGCTTGGGGCAATGTTGTCAATATCGAAATTGGTTTCATTTCATTTCTTCTAACCAGGTGCTGTGTTTTTCTCGATGGTCCATTATCAAAGAGCACTGATGATTTCTTTTTTGTCGCTCCGAGAAGCGACCTCTCGCCTGTGTTTACCAAAGCTTCACACTATATCCGTCTCGGTATTGATCTGCCCTCAGGTGATGCTCTGCCTCTATCCGTCCATCACCCTCAGTGTCCCCTTGGCGCCCCGCACCGTCCCCTGTGTGCCCGTCCCTGACTCTCCTCGTGTGTCTTCTGGCAGCGGATGTGGTCGGGTCAGGACGATTGTAACCGCGTGGTGGATATCTTACTGTCCATACCAGTACCCTGTACCTGACGGTCCCCCGTGTGTCTTCTGGCAGCCGATGTGGTCGGGCCAGGACGACTGTAACCGCGTGGTGGGCAAGATCCGGCTCGGACACGAGACGCTGGCCACCATCGACGGAAAGTGGGACGGCCAGATGTACTGCACCGACAAACGCACTAACGTGAGTAATACAACGACAAACGGGCCAACGTGAGTATTGAGCAATTCACCAACAAACGCACCAACGTGAGTGTATTGTACTATATCGACAGATGCACCAAACGTGAGTTATACATTGAGGGACCAATGCACCGACAAACGTGCCAACATGAGTAATACGGAGTCGGACAGCCGAATAGTATAGTGCAACGCACCAACAAGCTGGCCAACAGTACCTCGCCTAGTATTCGTATAAACGTGAGTGGCACAGCCACACTGACAGTCCGAGTCCCGAGAGGACTTTACGTCGACACACACACATACACAGACCAACGTGGCTACCGCTGACAGAACAACTTGGACAGACGAACAGTAGGTACGGTACAAAGCACCGACGAACAGAACAACGTGATCACCGAAAACAGATCAACGTGACTACCGGAAAAAGTGCAAAAGTGAGCGCTGTCCCGATAGCTTTTCGAAACAGTGTAGCGGGGCGGGGCGCATGAATGCCACGGATCTTTGTGTTATAGCCCCCGAGCGATGCGATGCTGTGTCTGGCATTGATTCGCAGATCGCAATTGTAATCGGAAGTCAATGTGGAGTGCGGTGTTTTGTGCCGGCATCTCATTGTCCGCCGCGGAGTCGTTACTGGGCTGGGAGGTCTCCAGGAATGGATCGATGAAGTCTGAGTGGTCAGATATAATGTCTCCGCCCGGAAATGTCGGATTGCGCTTGATCAGCAGAACTTGTGTATACAAGACGGTCAGGACTGGGATGTAAAGGTCAAGCAGGCTGTTTCCATTCAGGCGCCGGAGGTAAGGCAGCTGCTTCCATGAAGTTCAGAATGCTAATGTATCACAGCGGACTAGCGCTCATAGGAGGGCTCGATGCTGACGGACTGGCTGGGTGGTCGATTTGTGCCGCATCCCTAGCGCCCATCGTCTCGGGGTGCAGCTCTGGCGAGCGGTTGGCGGGGGGCTTTTCGGCTCCCACTGGTGCTGTTTCATGTTTGATCGGCGGGCTGTGGCAAGGCTCTCGTGGGCTGGATCGGTGATTGTGGTTGGTCGTCTATAACCAATGCAGTCGCCGATCCAATAAACCCAAATCACCATTGGATCGTGATTACATATCGCCCTCTGCTGAGAGTGATGCACTTTGGCTAGTTTGTAATTGATAGTTATTTATTCTAGTCTACTGGTGACTCTGCCTTAAGCGATCTAACACTCAGTCCAAGATATACATACAATTCTGTATTTGACGAAACCAGTTGGATCTAACAACATTTTGTACTACTGTACTGATGTTAGGACCCTACGCCTAACCAGCTAACCCATGATTTCCCTGTCTGTACCAGGAGAGGGAGACGCTGTGGAACCCGACACCGGAGGTGTGCCGCCAGCGGCTGAAGCGCTACACGGTACCGCTCGACGAGCAGGGCATCTGGGAGTCGGAGCTGCTCTGGGCCAAGGTCTCCAAGGAGATCGAGCGCGACGACCAGGTGCGTATACGACACGGACACGGCGGCGGCGGGGGAGGGTGAGCGCCACGAGAGAGGGCGATGGGTGTTCGGCGGCAGCGTGTGCTGATTTTGGGATAATAATCGCGATGCCTTTGTTCAAATTATCGGCCTCCTGGCATGCTTTGAAGGACGTTTCCTCTTTTATTCATCATCGTTTCATCAGTTATTTTGTCCCGCTTGATGTGACGGTTTAATTTTGGTGACGTCAGGTGATGTCTTGAACAGGCCTGCTTCGTAGAGGCAGCATTTTATCCGGATAATGTATCACTAGCATTGACACTATAAGACACTTATTCGGCCCCATGAATCTCGATCTAACCGGCAGTTGTTTAGCACCATTTTGTCCCAGTCCCCGTCCCAACACCCCACACTCTCTCACTCGTTCCTCCTCCCTCTGTCCGCCTCTGACACCCCGCTCCGTCCCTCCGCCCACAGGTGGCCGCCACAAATGAGAAGTTTGTACTGGAGGAGGCGCAGCGCGCGGCCGCCAAGGAGCGCAAGGCCACCTGCACCGAATGGGTGCCCAAATACTTTGTCCAGGTGAGCCCGCCGGGCCGCTCTGTCTGCCTGTCTCTCTCTCTCTCTCTCTCTCTCTCTCTCTCTCTCTCTCTCTCTCTCTCTCTCTCTCTCTCTCTCTCTCTCTCTCTCTCTCGCTCTCGCTCTCGCTCTCGCTCTCGCTCTCGCTCTCGCTCTCGCTCTCGCTCTCGCTCTCGCTCTCGCTCTCGCTCTCGCTCTCGCTCTCGCTCTCGCTCTCGCTCTCGCTCTCGCTCTCGCTCTCGCTCTCGCTCTCGCTCTCGCTCTCGCTCTCTCTCTCTCTCTCTCTCTCTCTCTCTCTCTCTCTCTCTCTATTTGTCTCTGTCTCTGCCGCTGTGTCTATCTCCTGCATCCTGTCTCCTGTCTGTCCTGCCGGCTGCCTCAGTTTCTGCCTCTGCCTCCTGCCTCTTCCTCCTGTATCTTCCTCTTCCTCAGTCTCTGTCTGTCTCTTATCTGTCTCCTGTCTCAGTCTCCTGTCTCTTTTGTCTGTCTAGTCTTAGCCTGTCTCTGTCTGACCCTGTGGTGATACGTCCGTCGTCCAGTCTCACGTCCGATCAGAGCTGACCGACTGCGGTGACGGTTCGGAGCGCCCGATCGATCAGGTCTATCTGACCGGCCGATCGGAGACGAGGTGCCCGGGAGAGTTATGGCACGGAGGGGCCGGCCGGCGCCGGTGGAACTGTGGGCTGGGATCGCGGGACGGTCTGCCGCACCCCGGGGGACTTCGGACGTCCGGTCCGACAGCCAGACCCAGTGCGGGGTGATTTATACTCCAGGGATGGAGCGGCGGTGATTTCTAATGCATGAGGTGGACATGATCTACTTACTGAGGGGCTTTATTTGAACGTCTACATGATATATTATGACGGTTGTTAAGTGTGCTTTTTCGGTCAAGCTCACACGAGTCTGTCCTCGCTTCTATTTTCTCTGCAACCTTACCCAACCCCAGCGGTCCCCGTCAAGTGCCCCTCCCCCTCTGACCTATGACCCTTTCCGGGTACCGTTAGGACTGTGTAAGCGGCGAGTACCAGTATCGGTACTGGGCTGACCTAGTGTGACCCCTCTGACCCTACCCCCCCCCCCCCTGGTGTACCGCCAGGACTGTATTAGCGGCGAGTACCAGTACCGGTACCAGTACCCCCTCTGACCTAGTGTGACCCCTCTGACCTCCCTGTGTACGGTCAGGACTGTATCAGCAGCGAGTACCAGTATCGGTACCCCCTCTGACGCCTCCCTGTGTACCGCCAGGACTGTATCAGCGGCGAGTACCAGTACCGGTACCCCCTCTGACCAAGTGTGACCCCTCTGACCCTCCCCCCTCTGGGTACCGTCAGGACTGTATCAGCGGCGAGTACCAGTACCGGTACGCCGACCTGCGGCCCTGGGACCCGCACACGGACCAGCACCAGTACGAGGCCGACTACCAGGTGCTGACGCGCACCCGCACCCGGGCGCCCATGCTACGCACCGCCAGCCTCATCAGCGTCGAGAAAAACCTCAGGAAGGTCAGTTCACGCGGCGACAGACGGCGGGAAAGGGTGTGGCTTATCGGGTGTTGATAATCACACCATAAATCTTGCTTTTCAAATCTCAAATATACGAGTAGTTCTGGCGTGATGGTTGTGACCCCGCGTAAAGCGTTCGGTCAGGTGGAGTATTTGTCTTCACTCTATCCCTCTATCCCTGGTATTTGTCTACCCCCTCTTTCCCCTCTATCCGTGTGTCCGTTCCTTTATACCATGCTTTTGATCCCGTGAAAGGCGCTCGGTCAGGCGGAGAATTGTGTGTAATATGTTCACTTTACCCGTGCAGCTGTTACCTTGTCTCTCTGTGTGCCCGTTCCCCCGTACCCTGGTTCTGACCGTTTGCAAGGTGCTGGGTCAGGTGACCTATTTGTCTGTGGCCTGTTGTATCTATCCGTGTACCCGGGTTGTCTCTGTATGTGTCCGACTTTACACTTTATACCATGGTTCTGACCCCGTGTAAGGCGCTCGGTCAGGTGGAGGTGGCGGCGGTCTGTTCCCTGTGTACCGTGGTTCTGATCCCGTGTAAGGCGCTGGCCCAGGTGGAAGTGGCGGCGGTCTGCCCCCTCTATACCCTGGTTCTGACCGTTTGTAAGGCGCTGGGTCAGGCGGAGTATTTATCCGTAATATGCCCCTGTGTACCGTGGTTCTGACCCCGTGTAAGGCGCTCACTCAGGTGGAGGTGGCGGCGGTCGTCAGGAAGGAGCTGACCGGCCGCGTCACCCGCATCTCCGAGAGCTCCTCGCCAGATGCCAGCACCGTGGACGGCGGACGGCGGCGCGAGCACGTCTCACCGCGCAGGTAAGCTCAACTTTCGGCTGGGCAAGGCGTGAAGCAGTAGCGCTCATTCTTAGTAGAAGAGACCAGATACCACTATTATTTTCTAACGAGGCTTAATTATTACTCACCTGATAATTATTGTTTTAACGATTTCGACATGGTATCTCTTTTGGGGTGGAATTTTCTTTCTGGCGAGTTTCCGTTTCGTTCTTCCTTTTGCTTATTTCTGATGACCGTGTCCGTTCGTGTGTCTGCAGGCTGCAGCAGTGTCTTCAGCCTCTAGAGCAGCTGCAGCGGGACACGGCCGCCGAGCTGGCCGCGGTGCGCCGGCAGCTGGAGCGGCTGCAGCGCGCCCAGCAGTCGCCCAGCGCCGGCCGCCAGCTCAGCCCCTGGCTGGTGCTGGTGCTGGCCGTGCTGGCGCAGCTCGTCACCGGCTGGTGGCTGCGCCGCGCCGGCTGAGCGCCCAGCTGCCGCTCGCTTCCACCGCGGGACGCCCGCGCCGCCGGCCAGTCACTGACGGCAGGCCGGGGCGCGCCGTCCCCACCAGTCCGCTCCATTGTTGCTCCCTAGTGACCTATTTATTAGCTAGGCTTTAATCGTGCGTTTGACTCGCGCCGCCTCGCGTGCGGAGGTGCTCTGTGCAATGTTTACCGGCGCGCGGGGCGGTCTAGGGCCCCGCGCGGCCCGCTGTGATGACCGGCCCGGTATCCTCAGTGTGTGTGTGAGTGTGTGGAGCGGCGGGCCGGACCCTCCGCTCCGGGTCACCCGCCCCCTGCCGTGTACGGGCGTTAGTCTTCTGCCGACCGGGGCGGCCGGTACCTCCAGTGCCCGCCGCGCCGCCCCGTCCCGCCACTAGCCATTCAGGTTCTCAGCTTGGGACTTTCAGCGCCGCTGGTGTAGGGGTTTGGTTACGGGACACTCCCGCAGACTATGTAGAGAGACGCGCGGGCGATGGCCAGTGCGAGAACCGTCCCTGGAATAGTTCAGCTCGTCCTGGACAGCAGACCATAGACCATGGGCCAGATCTTGGTCCCCGGACCAGGCCGTAGTCCACAGACTGCTGGGCACGAACTGCCGGATAGGTCTGCGACATTCCTGGCGTCTCGGAGACGGGGTACCGCCAGTCAGGTCTGATAGTCTCCCCGTCTCATTCACTGAGTAATAATACACTATCCGACTGAGACGTAGCGTCTGGTCGCTCACCGAATACATTATCAGACTGCAACGAGCCGCCTTTGAAAGTGGAGCGGGGTTCGGCGATGGTCGTAACGCGCTGTTCGGTCACAATAATGTGCTGAACGGTAGTGTCTTGGTTTGACAGTGTCTGACACAGCCATACGATAAGTCGTCGCGCCCTAAAGCCCCAATTAACAAACAAACAGCCATACGATAATACGGTACTGCGAACTGACAAGGACAGGTTAGAACGGTGCGCGCTCAGCTGCGCTCGCTCATACTATTTCCAATTCAGAGCACTGCAGTTCGCAATCCACAGTCCCCGCAGTCCGTATTGAAAGTCTCAAGAGTGCATTGACACAGTTCATGTTGATGCGGTGTGCCAGTCAAATGGTAACGTCATACACAACACAGATGCAACTCACATTCGATAAAAAGCGGCTCCAGTAGCCATCGATGTCATCAAACAACTGTGACTTCAACTGGTACCGTGAACATTGATTGATGATTATATTTGTGACAAGGGACACCAACTCTGTTTGGTTTCACTCGTCCTTACAAAAGAACGTGGTTCCGAAACGGAATAAACGGGACATGTGTAGAACGTATCGTAAGACATAACTCATCACATACAAAATCAAAAAGCTTCAATCACTATTTGTCGACGAATCCCGGCACTGAGCAGATGTCACCTTCAACCTTCTAACTAAATGCAAAATCATCCGTGCTAGACGACAGTGTACCTGTCGCAAGATACAGGCCCACCGAATTCGTAAAAAGACTATTCCACCGTCGCACGACCCTTTAACAACTTTGGAAAATAAACTCCCATCCCCCTTGTGCATTACTACACAGCGAAAGACACCGCGCATCGCCGCTCATCGCGCCTACATTACCTATTACACAAAACACGATTAATTGGTTCCAATCGCAATGCGACCAACCAGCGTCTACCGGCTCCAGTTCTGACAATAATGCCTCTTACATCCACAGCCTACATCACCGCGGAGTCGTCAGTCAGACTCGGATCACTCACAGCCAGTCAGAGGATACACACACAGCTTACAATGACACAGTGACACAGCTAGATGTGTCGGCAGGCGGCGCCGGAGCAGCGCTCGGCCGCCTCCAGCCGGCGCCGCCACCGGTCCCTCTCGGCGTCCGAGAGGCTCGGAGCCGTGTTATTGAGCTGGTCAGGGTCCGCCGACAGGTCGTACACCTCCCAGAACTCCTGTGAAACCACACACGGGGTGTTACAGTCGCACGCACGGGAGCTCGCAGTCCGCCGTGGACACATACTCTCTACAGTATATGTGCATACATCTTGACTCCTCGACGGGGAATGTCACTATCAATGAATATGAATACAAATTAAAATGTCTGGCATGAATAACATGAATCCATACCAAATCTATACCAGACTCGAATACATGTTACCTAAAGTTTTGGGTTCCCAGCTGTGAGGGTATTCCGTGTCTACATTTCGATGTTCTAGCGGAACTCACTGGTTGTGAGAACCTGCAGACGATCCGGTCCAGGCCCGCCGACATTTCCCTGATACAGCGGTACGTGTTGTCGGCAGAGTCCTGACACTTGCACGCATACCGCTCGTAGCAATGCTAAAATGACGGAATCTGGTCAACTATGAGCCGAAAAGGGGAAAACACGCGTCCTACTCGTAACTGCAGTGCGGAAATGGCAAGGGTCAGACTCGAATCACGAACCGGTCAACACTGAGCTGGAAAAGTGGAATTGGGCCCGTTCGACATAGCAGTGGCGAAATGGCCACGGTGGCGACTATTTACAACTGGGCTGAAATGGTCATGGTCCGACTGTAACTGAGCCGATATGGCGTTATCAGTTCCGCCCAGAGAATTGCCAAATGGGCTGCAATAGAGGCCCGAATGGCAGCCAATTGACACTCAGGCCAATCGAAGTGTACCAGACTCTATGTTGGCTATTGACGCTTCATCAAATACGTGAAAGCTACTCAAACAATGTGTCCTGCGTGGATATTTACAACTGTTCCCATCGATATCCCGCTCCAATGCCACTCAGACCCTGATCATCGTACCATCACAATTCACATCTGTCCCTACCACGTCCCCCCACGCTGGACTCACCGACACGTTGGTGCCTCTGAACCGGCACGGCTGCTCCACCGCCATGTTGGTCTCGCCATTATAGCTGACCAGCAGGGCGGTGCGCGGCGGCGGCGGTTCAGAGGTTCGCGGCGGGGGCGGCTCAGAGGTCAGTGGATCGGCCGGTACAGGCCGGGACTCGGCAGACACAAACTGTGGACGAATGAGAGCGACGAGGAGAGGTCATGATATACCGTGAGTGACAAACTACATAGAAAGCATCACCAAATACCTACATTGCAAACGTATTTACGTTGAACAAGACCTAAAACTAAGCAAACTTAAATCATAAAGAACAAGACCGTCAAATTATCTGCAAACATCGATACTGGCCGACAAAGCATATGCTAAATCTTAAAAGTTGTTATAACTGACATCTATAAACGTAAACATTCCAAACCTTCAGCTTAAAAACATGCATTGAAAGTCTGAGCCTCCAAGTGGCTGTTATGTAATTCCAAACGATGCCACCCACCACCTCATCAGTGAGACGCCGCCATCTCGGGGTCGGGGTCCATTCCAGCCAGCTGCAGCACTGTGGGCGCAGCCAGGTCCACGGCAGAGACGGGCGCCCGCACCGCCCGCCCGGCGGCAGCGGCCGCCGCGCACATACAGCGGCACCCGCAGGTCAAACTCGTACGGCATCGCTTGTCACCGTC